TTTGGGGCATGCCTCGAATTTCTCTGCCCATTAATTCTTCGTTAACTAGTAAGCAAAAGTTATAGACCTTATTTATTGAAATGAAACTAAGAAACAGATCATACTGCCATACAGCTATTCTTCTGGTGTACTCTTCATATCCTGATGAATACTAAAATTGTGGCCAAATATTCTTTCATACCTTCATTTATTGCAGAAACAGTGCAAGTCAGCCCAAGCCACATCACAGGTATAGTCTTGGGTCTTTTATCCCAAGACTATCCACACTCCAGAGCACAACTGACAATAATTAATTTCAATGTTTGTTGTGCGTACTGTCAGCTAGCTCCAAGTTGTCATAATTGTGCTGAAGCAAACTATTAAGCTTTTATGACTGTTTGAAAATTATTGTATTACATTTAGGCAGCTCCTATATGCAGTATATAAATGTCTGCCTTAAGTAAAAGTAGAATAAATCATTCTTCATTGTGTAAGATTATTTTGGCATAATGTGCTGTTAGAGATGAGACTGACTTCACAATAGAAAACAGAGCTGTGATTAAAGTTTTTTTTAGTACAAAATGATATTTCCCAGCATGTGCACACATTAGACACTAATTTAAATGGTATCTAATGTCACAGCACAGGAACTAACCTCCAAACAGCTTGTTTTGGAATGACCTCATAGAGGTTTAATAAGCTGTTTTGATTCTCCAATTTAATGAACTATTTTATTTACAATAAGCTCTAGAGTTTGTGTGTTTTAATAGCAACAAATTTAAACTATAAGAATTAACAGTGGAAACAATTGGTTAAATACTACATCTAATGTTGGTCTTTTTGTTATGACTGGTACATTTCATGTTGAATTAAATGGACTTAATGAAAAGCCATTTTTTAAACTTAGTTAAACATAAAGAGCTAGGTCAGTTCAATGAATGAGTGGATGGAAAAGAATATGTAATAACATTTTCTGTAACAGAATAAATATAGCCTATTGCATTATACCTGAATACAAGTGATGGTAAAAACAATCATTTCTAATAGTTATGATTGGGATTTCTTTCAATCATACCTTTATTCAACTGAATTAGCAGCAAAGAGCCATGAGCCAATGTGTGCTGACCATTGTTTATAGGAAGTTTTGTATTGTGACTCACATTAAAATGATGAGATCACTGTGCAATGATTGATAAATAATTAATGGTAAAAATCAAAATTTACACAGTGAGGTTCTTTTGCTGTGAGAAGATACAACTCCCTGCAGGTAATGCACTAATCACTACAGAAATAATCAGACTCTACTTCACATGTACCTCCAATTTTAGTGTTTTCTCCCCCTGAAATCCAGCAAGAAGCAGATAGTATTGAGGCTTTACCTAGAGAAGACAGAGGTTTGCAAAAAAACATTATGGATGAATGGAACAATATGAACTGACCTTGAATAGGCTGAAGATTATATCTTTAGTCAATTTAAAGAGAAACTATTGGGCATCTTTCTGTTATTCATAATATGAATGACACTGCAGTTACTCTTTATTTCAATGACTTATTTTTACGTGGTTTGCAGTATATGTACATTATTAATAGGGCAACAATATCTCTATACAGACTGTGACAATGTGAACTTTCTCGAGCATACTACATGACTGCTGTTGAATTAAAATAGATCTAGGTAGACACCACATCACAACCATGTGAGAGTACTGAAATCTAGCAATTTGATGTCTGTGTTTGAAAAATGTGTTCCACCTATTAAAGAAATAAGCCACCTTACTATGTACCCTGTGTTATTAATTAAGGGAGAAATGCTTGCCAGGACAACATACTGCTCTTCTTTGAATAATATTGCATGAACTTTTAATTCTCACAAATCATTGAGACAGATGGACAGAACTTCAGTTTAGTCTTTAATAACTCTTTTGATGTTGAGATCTTTTTTCTTACTATTACGTGATCTGCTGGCCTAGATTACAGGCTTGTGTCTTGAAGTGAAGCTTAAAAATAGTTTGGAACTATGTGTGCCACCAATTGAACCAAGGTGACTTTGGATTTTAAAAAAAGAGTAAATTATGATAAAATCTAAATTACTGAATCTGAGATATATGGGCTCAAACAAAAATCAATAGGAAATAATAAGAAGTGGGATGCAACGAACATTTTGAACCATAATGTACTTTAACAGTATAAACAATTCTTATCCTCATTCACGAAGCTCTTCTCTTTGATGTATTTTCCAGAATTGCAGTAATCATGGATACATAATTTTGTGGCTGCTATTTGGCCATTTTTTAAAGATGACTTAAAAAAAAACAATAATTAACTGACACAGTGGCAGCAACTTACTAAGCTTCCTTCAACAGCATTTTCTAAATATATAAACTTGACCACCTAGAAAATAAGGGCAACAATTGTTTGGGAACATCAAACCACCCTCCAAGCCACACAATATCCTGATTTGGAACTATATCATCATTTCTTCACTATTGCTGAGTCAATATCCTAGAACTCCACTATTCAAGTCCTCAATTATTTTTGATTAAAGATATGGATTAGAGAACAGACTGTGTTCTAGCCAAATTTGCTAATAATACAAGAATTGGTAAGAAAGCAAGTTGTAGGGAGGACACCATCTGCAAAGAAATATAGGTAGGACAAATGACTGGACAAAATTTTGGTAGATGATATATACCGTTGAAAAATGTTCATGTTGGTAGGAAGAATAGAAGCAGAATGTTATTTTAATGGAAAAAGTGTGCAGAATGCTTCAGTACAGAGGTATCCGGTTATCTCTGTATATGTATCAAAAATGTTGGCTTGCAGGTACAGCAAGAAGTTAGGGAGGCAAATGGAATACTGATCTCTATGGCAGGGGGCAATAGAACATAAAAGTAGAGGAGTTTAGCTACAACTGTACTGGCTACTATTGAATCTACATGTGGAGTACTGTGCATAATTTTCATCTTATTTAAGGAGGGATACATTTGTGTTGGAGGTGGTTCTGACAGCATACACCAAGTTGATTCCTGGATTGAAAGTGTTGTTTATTAAGGAAAGTTCAAGAATATTGGACTTTTATTCTCATTGGAGTTCAGAAGGATGAATGATAATCTTATTGATAGATATAAGAATTTGAGGGGGCTTGACAGCATAGAAGTTGAGAGGATGTCTGCTCTTGCAGAGGATTCTAGAATGAGGGGGCACAGTTTCAAAGTAATGGTTTTCTATTTATGACGGTGATGAAGAGAAATTCCTTCTTTCAAAGGGTCATTTATCATAGAATTCTCTATCCAAGAGAGCAGTGGGGACAGGGTTTTAAATATATTCAACGTTGTATTAGACAGATTTTTGATAAGGGAGTCAAGTATTATTAGAATAAGGCAGGAAGTTGAAGTTAAAGTTAAGCATCAGGTCAGTCATAATTTTATTGAGCGACGTAGTAAACTTACTAGGCAAATGGCCGACTCCTATTTTTAAGTTCAGCCTTCCTTGCAGCATTGTGAGTGTACTTATACTAAATGGACTGCAGCAGTTCAAGAAGGGAGATCACCACCACTTTCTCAAGGGTAATTAGGGATGGGCAATAACTACTAGTCTTGTAAATGGTGGTCACGTTCTATGAAAGAACATTAAAAAATGTGCATTTATCATCTGAAAACTGATAAATGATGAGCAGTGAAACAGTAAAAGCAGCAAATTCTTTAAAATGTATTAATTGTATTAAACAAGGAGATGTGAAGTTGCCAGTGCATTTTTGAAACAATTCCTGCAGTGTAATATTTCATTTACTATACAATTTAAAAAGGAATGGTTAACTTGAGTAACAAATGGAGACACATAATTTCATCTATCTCATTGGCTTATCTACTTTGTATTTGTTTACCTTCCTTTGCTTTTTATTTTCCATCTCTTTCTTCTTTGGTCTTTTCATTATTGTGCTGCTTTCTAAATTGATAGATAAAACAGTTCCACACTTGTAACCAAATTTTCATTCACTGTTGCTCTTGTCTGAGAAGTCATACAAAAAGTGACCTTTGAATCACCACTGGACCCATAAAGCACAATACACACCATTGTCCTGTCAAAAGTTGAAGATGTTTTACATCATTACAAAATTTAATGTTCCAACTTTTCAAATGTAGTACTTTTCAAAGGCCGCATTCCAATTGAAGCTCATTAAATTCAGGCTCGAGTTTCCTGTGGTGGGAATGAGAAAGAGTTTCTCATGCTTTGGAAGTAATATGAATAACTCTTTTAAAACAGATATGGTTACATACTAGTTTTGAAAGGTACAGTAACTGCTGAGCTCTTACAAGCTGCAACACTGAGGCTTTTGTCCTTTAAAATCTCATAATTGCCTCTTGAACCATTGCACTTTAGTCACTCTGCATTCTATTTACTTATGAATAAATCAACTTTTAAATAAAATTGGTGTTTGAAAGTTCAAAGGTTACCATATGTGATAATTGCGAGCTTAAAAAGGTTCTCAGGATTAACATCAGAATTGAAAACATTATGGGCTGGCTACTGTTATTCTTCCCGACAACAGCAAAGTATTAATATTCTAGAGTTTTAATAAAAGAAAAAGTGCTTTTCTCTAAGTATGTAAGTTGAAAGATGCTGACGTTAATAGTTGATAGTTGCAATAAAAGCCAAACTAGGCCAACAGATGCAAATATAACACAACCGTGTTCAGTAGAATGTTTCCTAAAAAAAAACTGATTTTCTTGCTGACACTGAGTTCATTTGGATTTAGGTTATATTTTTCACATCATCATTCAGTGGATAAAAAGTACTGGTATGATTTTAATAATAGCTTTTGTGGATAAACATCAACAGGCAGCCTGAGTTTCTTTAATGGATTTTTTCATATTAGTTTTGATGTTAAAGCAAGACAAATGAAGCTCTCAGAACTGGTCTAAACTCATATGTATCTCCATAGCTGTGAAAAGAGGTCAGAAAATATCTGATAGGACATGCAGTGTCAGGCTATTAGCACAAAACCACTAATTACCCATCGGTCATTGTCAAATATTTTTAATACATTATTCAGTTTTAACCTACATACCATACTAATTTTCAACAATTTTATTAAAGAAACTTGTTCTGGTTTTGTTACCTTCTAAACACATGAAACATATATCGGGGGAGAAATTCAATTTAGCTTTATCCTGTTTTTAGCTATAAAATAGTTTCAGGGACTGCACATTTTAGGTAGCAACATTACAGAGCTGATCTAGCCTGGAAGCAAGTGGATCAAAGTATTGGAAGTAGGTAGCTTATAAATGTCCAGGACACCCATTTGTAATAGATGTTAGACAACTTTCCATTTGAAAAGTGGAATTCTTACTATGCTTGTTGGACTCCAATGCAAAATTCAACTAGAAATTGGTGACTTCGCACCAGACCAAGTTTGCCCCATAGCACCAGGTCTGAAGACAGTCAAACCAATGGACTTTAAAAGGACCCCTGAAGACTGCTCAATAAATGGACACAAAAGTTTTTAAAAGCTGCATTTCTGCAGGATCAGTAGAAGCAGAAATGCTCACAGGATCTTCCCGCTAGCTTGCTCGGGAGCTGATAGGAATTCATCTGCCCCTGAGCAACAAGCAATCTGGATCAGGACATCCAATTGGCACCCACAGTTCACAGGTTTTATTCAAATAAAGGCCAATGCAGAATTTGGTTTTGGTTTTGTGCATCTTATTTTACATTGGAAAACATGCAAGTTGAACTTCTCCCCTGTTGTTCTTTAAAGCCATATTCTCTCTTAAGGTGGACACAGGGAAAAGTAAGCAGCTGCTAATGGTTGTTATTCTTCATATATTGACAAATATAAATTCTATTTGAAAATATTCCCTAATAAACTACAAATATTTTTTTTTAAAAAAAGCTATCAGACACTGACTACAGCTTGCTGAAGGTCTAGGCAAGATACTTTCCAGTTTAATTAGCTGCCTTAGACTGGTACTGATGTACTCTCAAGGAAATGGTGGCAGCCTATCTTAGATCCTTCTAAGTGGATACTCAGGTTGCTAAGCACACAGATTAACTAACACATAATGGAGAATTACACTGATAAAAACTTGGAATCAATTACAAAATATACCATATTGACAAATGGTAAGTGTTTAACAGAAATCTGGAGGAAAATATGGCTTTAATTTCCATACATTTTAGAGACTAGGTTTATGTGGTAGGAAGCTCTGATTTTATATTATGAAAGTTTTCCCACTTACTCATTACAGGTTACTTGGAATAGAAGTTAGCTCAATCAAATACATATACAGTAACTGGTTTCAAGATTTAAAATTCCAAGAAACAGATGCTGGTTCAATTTTAATAGCAGTTACCAAAAGTATTAATGGTAAGATTTCATTTAAACTGGCTTTTCAGCTAATGTGCCCTTCGGACCAGAGGAAAGTACAGGCACATCCTTCACAAATCACAACAGGAATCAGGCATTTAGCTTGTGAAGCTTCAAGCTGGTATATTCCAAACTGCTGATAAGGAGTTTGTAGGCCTGATTGTATTTTTGAAAAAGAATACAATATCCTTGGACTTCAGCACACTTAAAGAGACTTAAATAGTGGGAAAAATATTATTTTTCAATTGTCTTTTAGTGTCAGGTATTCTGCTATTATTATAAGGCATTACCAGCAACTGTGTTCTATCCTTTTAAATTCACAAAAAAATGTTACGTCTATTCTTGTACATAGAGAAATCACACTAGTCTTGTGCACCTGTTCAAAGAGCACAGTCTGGATTCTAAGCACCATGTTACCATTGCATTCAATTAGAACATTGATGTATGCACTAAAATATACACAGCAGTAAGGAGCCTTTAATACTACAAGGCTGAATGGTTGGTGTGATTGATAAAATCATAAAATTCCACATTTTTTCTCATTGATATGAGTTATTCAGGTGCATGGACAACCCCAGGACTTTACAGCTTACGCATTCACAGTTTGATAACAAATATATATTTTTTATTTTAATGTATAGGTTTTAGCTTTGTGACTCAGTTGGACTGCAAATGTTACAAAAATATAAATTAAATTTAACAAAGGACCAGAAATTGCAGGGTTTGTGATGGCAAGCTAGCAGGGTTCACCATATTTACACCTCAGAGTCTGACCATGATAGTAGGAATAAGTACAAGTGTAAACGAATGTGAAAATCCTGAAATTGGCATCTGTCATTTGCCATTCAAACACCACCCCCTAACCTGATCCAGAACTGACTATCAGTGAAATCAACTGATCTAGTGAAAACATTCCCCTTTTGGCTCTGTTATAAATGTGACAAACTCTTGTTAGAAAATGTTAGAAAGTTAAGCTTTGCTCAATGAGGTGCATTTCTTAAAACAGTAATCTGACCAATAAATACTGCTGAGCAACTGATCTGACCCTGAAAAAAATTATGGAATGTTGTTAATTGTCTCTTCTATTAATTTTTACTTAAGTTTTAGAACCTATTTTTGTTTTAATTTTAAAGTCTGTTCATGCTATTTCAATTATTGACTTAACTTGGGGCTGCACAGTGGCTCATTGGTAAGCACCACTGCCTCACAGACCAGAGAAACTGGGTTCAATTCCTCCCTTGGGGGACTGTCTGTTTGGAGTTTGCATATTCTCACCGTTTCCACTGGGTGCTCTGGTTTCCTGCCATAGTCCAAAAAACATGCAGGTCAGTTGGATTAGCCATGAGAAATGCAGGGTTATCAGGTAAGGGGTAGAGTCTGGGTGAGATATTCTTTGAAGGGTCATTATGAACTTGTTGGACCAAAAGGCATGTTTCCAAACTTGTTGGCATTTAATTCTAACTCAGCTTGTATGTCCCAATCTTTATTTTTGCTATTTGTAAAATGTATAAATACGTGTGTTTGAGTATTAGTGCTTTGCAGTTCCCAGTTGGTTAACTGTGAAAAATCCTTAATGTGATTGGCTCCTTGTACAGCTTTAATGACATCACTGCCGTTCCAAGTTCAGAATTCCGATTAAACTCAGCTATAAGCAACTGCACATCAACAGAAAGGTATAGTTCTTGTCACACAGAGTGCTAGATCTGTTTGTGTAGCTTTCTTTGGAGGTCAATGGCAAGCATTATTGGTTCGCCATTTTGCTGTTAACCACAAATTACAAGCTATTATCATCTAACTGATAGCAGGCATTGTCCAGGCTTCAGTTTTGTATTTGCCATTTAATTAGAAGACAGTGATGTTGCACTCAATTTTCATTTTCCTACTGAGTCACAGAGCTCTTTGCAGTGACATGCTTGTCTGTAGTTTCTAAATTCAAAAACTGTCATTGCAGGAGCTGCGTCCTGTCCAGGGGCCCAGGAAATTGTTCAGCACAGGGGTCTTTAACCTTAAACAAGCAGAAAATTTGCATGAGTAGAAGTGTACTACTACAATTTTTTTTCCAGCATCCCTGTGGGACAATACATTGCTGTGACAGTGCAATTTTTAAATTGCCAGTCAAATATCTCAGATTAAAGGTCAAAATATTCTCAAATAAAGTAGACAGGAATGATAAAGCACCCACAACACTTACCATCACATAATTGCAGACTAAATTACAATTGAAACATCTACATTTACAACAAAATGATATTGCATCCCATACTTGTATAATTGCAATACTCAGCATTTAGATGTCACATGGAATTTACACAGATATAAAAGGAACAGGCTGCAATTCAGTTCCACATTTGACACCTAAACAATAAAGACCCCCCTTGGAAACTGTGGCTGGGAATAAACTGGTCTTGCTGAAAACGTCCTAGTTATCGTCTAAGACCATCCAACTGTAACAGAATTTTTTTCCTTGAATCTAAGGAAGTTCCTCTACAATGTAAAGAAACTCCAGGTGTTGCCAGTTTTCTAACTATATATTAAAACTTCAGAATCAGAAATCTGCAATTTTCAGGTGCTCTGTACACAAAACCCAAATTAGTCTGAATTTTAAATATTTACTAATACCCAGCACATGACGTCTATCCCTCAATACTTTGGTTCAATGAGCCAGGTTAGAAATAACTGTTAGAGTCATCAACTTCTTTAAAACAAAAATGTGATTATAAAGCACAGTAGTGTTTCATAACTGGTTCCACTTCTGCATTTGTGGCCTTCTTTAAGCATGCAAAGACACGCATAGGTAAGGGAACTTATACAACTATCTTATTCATATAAGCATATGGTTTCCCCAATCCACCATCCATTCTCTCAAGTAATTCAAGAGTTTTTGGTTCCACCAGATCATTTGCAAAGTCAATCCAGTATTCATTACCATATGTGAAGAAGTGCTTCCCTACATCAATCCTAAATTTGTCTTTAGTGGTGGATACTAATAATTTCTACTAATATTTGTTCTCCTATCATTAGCAATCTCCATTAATTGACACCCAAACCTTCAAAGGTGACTTTAGCCAAACCTTTCCTCACCCACAAAAGACTCTTCTGAATCTGTGCTTGGGTCCATAAATATTTCTGGAAATAAGACTGGATTTAGAAAAAAAAGCTCTCTTTGCAATTGCTTTGGAATGTCAGATTTGTGAAAGAATTGAACTGTTTAAAATTAACTTAAATCTAAAAGTAGTAACTGGTCCTCATAAGAATTGAGTTTTCTATCATCTCTTTCAGCTTCTGTCCTAACTGGTTTTTCAGCACAATTCCTTCATTCTCCCATTCATCCCTTCAAAGTGCAACACCCAAAGGGAAAATTCTGCAGACCTTTTCCGGCAGCTCAACAGGTGAGGTTGATGGCTGGGATAAAATGTTCTGGAAGGTCTTCTTGTTGACCTTGCACCCATCTTTGACCTATTAGCAATTGTACACAAGACAGGAGAAGCCTTAGACAGCTCACCTGTCCTCATCACAATTAAGATCTTAAGTTGTCAATTAATGACCAGGGATAGACAGAGGCCCCAGATGAGAGAAGTCTAGGGGCACCTCCCTCACTAACCCTTTTTCCTGGTCAGGCAATTCACCCCAACCTTAAGTTCACTTTCCTACCTCTCCCTTTGGGTGTTCTGTACTCTTCTGGCCTCTCCAGGACCCTCACATCCTCTCCCTGGGCTCAAATCAATCCTCAAAAAAATTAACTACTATTTTGCCAGTTATTAATACAAAACCATTGTTATTGTTACTGCATTTGAAGTGGACCAACTCAAGTTGGCTTTGTGGTGTTACACGGTCATTGGTAAACCCCTTCTGTGACACAAAAGCTCCCAGAATGACAACGCATGTAAAAGTTATGCTCATGTACTAACAAAATCCTTTCACAGATGTTGAGGGAGAAAAATATTCTTCAGAAAGTTTCCTGTCTTTTTTGTGTCTTATTGTGGGATCTTACTTTTCAATCTGTTATAATTGAAGGTATCTGCACTATAACTGTTACTTCAACAGAATGCCATGTGTAGAATGATTTGTATTCCTATGTATGATGCTGTAATGTATAAACAACTTGTGTAGTGCCATACCACCCCATTGTGTGCATTTCCAGGTCATTTTGTCATGGTGAATTACACCATAGAGTTATAGAGTCATACAGCACAGAAACAGACCCTTCGATCCAACCAGTCCATGCTGAACATAATCCCAAACTAAACTAGTCCAACCTGCCTCCTCCTGGCCCATATCCCTTCAAACCTTCCCTATTCATGTACTTATCCAAATGTCTTTTAAACGAAATTGTATCCACATCCATATTTCAAATTTGTGGATTCGTAAATAGATGTGCATTGAACTACGTTATGAACTCAGTCTCAATGAAATTGAGATTACGCAACAGTTTTTACAGCTTGTACCTTTTTTAGGCATGGTAGGCTGTAAATTGTCTCAGTGGCAAGGTAATATTCACAAATTATTATTTAAATATCTTGTTTAGTTACTGCCCTGTGGATTTCTATCAGTTTTAGTATCA